GACAGACGGAGGATGTCAGCGCAGGGCCGGGGAACCGTGGCCGTGACAGCCTCTCATTGTACTTCAGCGACTGGTATCGCGCTCTCGTTGTGTCCGTGTCGGCAGCAGACCCACAACAGATGCTGAACAGATGACAGAAGCTGTTGTTTTCTCGCTCACTGATGATGTCACGGCTCAGAGGTTAAATGAAGCGTCCCTCCTCACCGGATGCTTTTTGATGCCACAGATTTAGAGAAAACGCGTCCATGTTTGTTCAGGTCAGAGTTTGTCAGATGTATGGAGGACATATATACTGTGTTTTTTAACAGCACTGTACTCCGGATATTACCTTTTTGAAATGTTTCCTGTGTCAGCGGCCGTGTTTGTTTTTGGGCGCCTCAGGTGAGCAGAAATCTATTAGGATCCTGTGGAAAGGGCTTTGTGTGTTCAGATGGAGGAAGATTGGTGCGCATGAAACAGAAAAGCATTTTTGCAGGAGTCTGTAAGTGAATGTATGAGCACATCACACCTCACTGTTGGGAGTGTAATGTATTAAATAATGCACCGGTTGTTTTCATCCGCCTCCATTCGTCCAGATGTGCTGTTTCATTATGGAATCATATTGTCAATGTGGAGCAGTGTGTCTGTGAAATCTTTTCTTTCGTGTCCAACAAGCTATTAATCACCACCAGTAATGGCTGTGACAGTGACTAAAGGGGCACCTTTGTGTGAACACTATGTGTGCATGTGAATACATGCACACTACGACAAATATCTGTTCTGAAAATACTTCGATTTCTGTTTTCTGCCACAAGCATCAAGTGTCCCATCTGCTTAATGCACCAATTTATCTTCCTGTCTCAGTGACGGTCCCCTCGACTCAAACAATTCAGAACCAGCTACGGGCACGGGGGGGGATTTCGCTCACTAATGGGATTCATCCACTCATAAACAAATTTGTTGAATTGCCTCTCCAGCATATTCTGCCAATTAAATTAAAATGACTTCATTATACCGTGTGGGGATTATATACTTCCAGACACTTGACGTGATGCATAAAGATGGTCTTGCAAACACAAAACAGACTTTTGTTACAGATCATTTCAATAATTAATTGTACAGACAGAATTACATATTGATCATTATTATGGTTGAATGTATCCAGACGAAGCTGATGTCTCCAAGCTTTGGTGGTTTTCTAATCTTTCCTGTATGTAAATATACATACAGGAAAGATTATATATATCGTAAGAATTTTTCGGCAGTATTTTACTAAATTGTAACTCAAAACACTGGTTTGAAATTATTGTATTGTTTGATATTGCAAAATTATGTTGGTAATAAAAAAAAACCAAGCTCTAAAAGACTTATCTGCAAGCAAATATTTGAGCAAAGGCTCTGGTCTGGGACGTCCTGAATCCCCTGAGCAGCTTCTGTTTATCACGGCGACTCTGCGGCTCATCACACCACTTTGTTCACACCAGAAATCCAGACATTTCACACATTCGGTGTGTTTCAAACGCCGTCATTGTTCAATAATGTATTTTACAGAAGCCGAGAGCTTCGTTGGATTTCCATAATGTTAACAGGCAGCAGAGGGTCAGCTCAGATTCTCCAAAGGACCCCAGATTGCAGATCTGCCTAATCACCAGATGGCTGCTCGCTGATGCATAATGCATCCGACTGCTATTACAAGTCGGCAGGGAAACGCAGCGGTTTTAATGGAGGAGACCCCGCGTGTGCGTGTTATTATTAATAAAGTGGATCCTGATGGTCGGTGCTTGGCCTCCACCGGGGTGTCAGGTGAAGATAACGTGTTCAAAGTTTAAACCAAACAGGCAGAGGCAGGTCATCAAATGGGTTCTTGTAGTCTGAATAAGAAAGCTCTTTGAACCACAGAGGCTTTTGCAAAGAATCTGAGAGAATAAAAAGCATAAGCTCATGGTATGAAAGGCGTTTGCTGTTTGAAGGCTTTGCACTTCCTTTTTCTATCCTTATTGTCTCCATCTGCATAAAATAGAAGTGACAGGTTGACAGTTCAACATAGAACATAAAACCCATCCTAAGAATTTGAAATACATCTCCCCATATTTCTTTAACGCAATAAATTTCAACATTGTTTGAACTAAATAAGATGAGTTTTGACAATCATGCCTATAATAAAGTATTTTAAAGATGTTATCGTTAAATCACTTTATGAAAAGCTAATCTAACCTCCTTCTGGTTGTGGCTTTGCATCAAACACACAAACAAAGAGTTCTATCAACTTTTCCCAAATTGCTGTAAACAACAGTGGACATCCCTGACCTACTCATATCTTAGACGCTATAAAACACTAGCACATGCATGTCCCGTGACACTTCTCTCTCACCTCTGACCCGATCTCGCCCGTGTTCCCTCAGATGACAGCGCGTCCGCCGGCAGCAGCATGGAGGTTACCGACCGCATCGCCTCCCTGGAGCAGAGGGTCCAGATGCAGGAGGACGAGATTCAGCTGCTGAAGTCGGCTCTGGCCGACGTGGTGCGGAGGCTCAACGTGTCCGAGGAGCAGCAAGTCATGGGCTCCCGCAGGGGACCCACCAAAGGTAACACGGCTACACCCGCATGGGTTTTTCATGGGTTTCTCCTCCTCCTGACACGCGGCTTTTTGGTGATAGCCCCTTGACTCCTTTTTCTCTATTTCCTGATGATTTGTCCTTTCCTCCTGAATCCAGCTAATTTCCCTTCCTCTCCCTCCTGTTCTCTCTCCTCCTGGACTGTGCGGTGTTGTTTCACATGCCGTGCGTCGTGCGTATAGACGCTGCTTTGATGAGAAAGTCTCCATCAGCAGACAGCAATGTTGGGAAGCCAGGTAGGCTGACTGTGAGGTCCGTCTGCACTAACCAGGCCTGGTGTCACTGCCTGCTAGTGTTATGTTGTACACACAGTATGGTATTGCCCCACTTCACTGCCTGAGGGCAACACACTGGGATCCGGGTCTCAAGAAGGTCTCAAGCTCCGCATATTGTCCATTAATCAATTGAGCATTTCAAGTTATTAATAAACTGTCACAACTTGCAAAGCACTTTTCTATGTTTTCCTCGGTTTATGCAACCTTACTGTTCTAATAATATGTTCTTAGTTAAGTAAGAAGGAGCTGTTGTTAAAGTAACATTACTCTTTTGCAGCCTGTTTGACTTTGAGGAATGTAGAAAGTAACAAAAAGCACTGGAGCGGGAATAAGAAAGCACTGAACACCATTTATTAATCAATGATACACTTTCCCGTTCATGTGACGTTTCTATTGTGTAACAGTACTGCATTTGTCAAAATGCATCTGCTGTATATGTATAAGTGGAATCCTCACCACAGAGGTGAGTATTTATGCACTTGAATGTGCGTTTCAGTGATGAAACAGAAACTGCTGCCGGTTCGAGTCTCTGGAGTGAACGATGAGACTTTAGGTTTGATTCGATTTGGGAGCTGAAGAATGACTCAGACTCTGAGAGGCTTTCTCTTATTGTTCTCCACTTCTAGCTGCAGGGATTCAGCCGCCTGCTCCTCTCGACTGGAGCACAATGGTGTGTTTTAGAAAGAGAAAACAAACCACATGACTCACACACGCACACACACACACGGACACACACATTGATCCTGTACAACATGCTAATAAAACTACAACCACAGTTTGCCCTGCTGCATAATTACAACCTGAAAGATAACAGAGCAGTATGAGTGTGTGTGAGTGTGTGTGTGTGTGTGTGTGTGTGTGTGTGTGTGTGTGTGTGTGTGTGTGTGTGTGTGTGTGAGTGTGTGTGTTTGTGTGTGTGTACATAAGTGTGTCTGCCTGTCTGCTGGATGAAACGGGGTCTATTAAATATGTATCACTGCAGAAAGAGCTGCAGCTTCCATTTATTATTCTTAGGCTCGCCTGACTGGTGTGTGTGTGTGTGTGTGTGTGTGTGTGTGTGTGTGTGTGTGTGCGTGTGCGTGTGCGTGTGTGTGTGTGTGCGTGTGTGTGTGTGTGTGTGTGCGTGTGTGTGTGTGTGCGTGTGTGTGTGTGTGTGTGCGTGTGTGTTCATGCCCCTTTTATGTTGTCAAACCACCTTCTGAAAACTATCTTTTATCATACATCGGTATGGAAATGTGAGTGAAACAAAACAATATTCTCAATAAACAGAAGAAAAACAAGTGTGAATTCATATTGTTATTACATTAAGGATTTCTCTGGTGAATTTTGTCTTATGATTTTATATTATTTCATGTCTCTGTAAACTCACTGAAGAGCATAATGTCGCTGCAGAGTGAGTGGTTTTATGCGTGTGTTTAAGGCTACACACATCAAACATGAATAATTAGTACACTGTACACCAAAGGGAAAATTATAAAGAATTACAGTTCAATTTAGGTTTTTAATAACATAATTTTTGCATTAACCCACCAAACAAATTGTGTGGGTTCCTCCCACTTTCCACTGAAGTGAACAGAACTCACATTAATAACATGTTTTTAGAGCAGAAGACAAAGTTCAAAGTCTAGATTCTCTCCCTTTGGTATTCTTATGAAAGCTGTTGCCTTACCATTGTGTTTGTTAAGAATGTAAAAGTTGATTCAATTTTTTATGTGATTATTGTTGCTGCAAATTTGTCTTTAGGACAATACTGATTGGATTAATAACAGGTTGATATGTGGGAAAAGCTTTGGAACAAAATATTATGAGGATGCTGTAGAAAGAAGCATAAAGACCGGGATCTCGATAAGCGTGTTCCCGCCGTGCATGCTCTCCAATCCAACTTCCTGTTACACAAGTCTTTACCTCATAACGTGTTAACCTCAACCCTGCTTCTGGTCTCGTGTCCAGCTTTTAATTCTGACCCTGTGGTTTGTTTCCTCGCAGCCAGGCCCATGATCGCCACCTTGCCATTACGGCCCACAGTGAACAACGGGACCGTTCTACCAAAGAAAGGCAGCGGCACCCTGCCCTCCCCGTCTGGACCCGGGTCCAGGAAGGACACCAGCACTCCAGCCAGCAAGAGGTGAGGAAAACAGGTCTCGTGTGTATTATGTGTCTTTCAAGACATTTTATTGGTCCCTAGATGTTTTTCAGTCCTCCGTGTCGGTGCCACGTCAGATCATTCAAGCCGTAAATGGTCTTACGTCTGACCTTTTATCATCACTAGCGGCCGACATTTAACGCGGCTGATAAACAGAGAAGTGCTGTTGTCATCTTTGCTTCTCTGTTGCGTGTGTGTTTATACATGCATGTGGAGCGCAGGTTATCAATCCGTCAGTGGAACAATTTCCTTTTCCCATCATTGGAGGACGTCACCATAATGAAGCTCAGCAGGCAGCGGGGACCCGCTCCAATCCAACCAGCTGTGTACTTCCCCGTGTCCTTGTTTCCTTCATTTCTATTATGTCTAATGTCATTCCTGCTTCACGGACGTTTTCCAAGAGTTAGAATTGACACTTTGGTATGAATCTCACCTTCATGTTAAGAGAACAATAAAGAAACGGCTCCGCAATATATGAAGTAATATAAATATGAAGATTTTTGATTAAAAACAAAACAGCAAGACAAACCCAGTAAAAGTGTGTCTTGTCTATTAACTTCAGGATTACTTAAACTTGTACAGCTTTAACCCTTTGTCGGCTATAATGAACCTTGGGGACGGTGACATAACCAGGGTTTAAGGTTTAGAAAATTCAATATTCCCCCCAAAAATACAAAGCAGCTGACCTCAGTGTCTGCTTGGATCAAAATGAAGATTATAAATGACCACTCTTGCTGCTGTGCTGAATCAAGGTATCAATCAATTGCTGCAGTTGCCTTTCATTGGAATTCTCAATCTTCCTCATAGAAACCTCGATATCTTTCATTAGGATATATGTAATGCTTTTAGGCTGTTTGTCTTTGTGTGTTGTGGTCTGTGTGTCCCGCCTCCTGCGTCACGCGTGTCCACCCTCTTGTGCTGTCTCTCTCTGCTCTCCTACTATGATGTCATATCCTGTCTATGTCCTGTCCACCTTCAATGTGATGTCCTGCAAAATCCGTCCAGTTTGTCCTCTCTGTATCGTTCGGCCAGATTTCTCTACCTGCCCCTGAGGTGAGAGGATCAGTGCGTCGCCGCTCACGATATAACATCATCGCTGCAGCGCAGCTCCGATGCATGCTAATCATCATTTTCCGTTATTAAACCATCTTCAAGTCGCATGGTAATGGCGTCGTTTCTCTCATCGCTAATATTCACTTTTTGTTGTTTGACTCGGCGTTCATTGTACAGTCCGTGTCTGGGATTAATCTAAACTGAATCCCATCAGTGTTGGCGTACACACACAACAGCCCTCCACGATGCCCTGCGGCCCAATTACCATCATTCCTCGTGGGACGACACAGCAAACAACACTTTCTATTTTTCTCTTTACTGAACAAACACACACGGGCTCTCCAGAAGGGATAACGGCCACCGGCTACTGTCAGGGTTTGAATAGACGTTTCTCCCACAGGGCGGATTATGTGACTGGGCCCACTGGCCATTAGATTGCTGATGGAGCCTTTTCATTGTTATAAATGGGCCGGCAGTCTGCACACCCAATGCCTAGATGTGCACAGGTTTGTACTGACATTGTGTTGATAACAGTTTGGGGTCTCTTTTGCTTCGGTGCAAATTCTTTCTTACGCTGCTTTAAAGTTTTTTGAGAGTGAAGACATGTTAAGGCCCGCCCTTCAGCTGAAACATGACACAACTCAATATTCCTCGTAAGTGCTTTCAAAAGCTATTTCTCGAACTGCAGGGAAGTTTCAGGAAAGCAGCGTCAGGTAGTTTTCTTGGCCTGTTTCTTTGTGACCTTCTTATTTTTTTGTGTCTCTGTCCATCTTGGCTCGCTGCAGCACTGTGAGGAGAGCCAACTCAAACGAGCACGTGGGAACTCTCACGCGGAAAGACTCGGGCGACTCCAAGGGCAACCGAACTCGTGCCGGATCCACCGGCAGCAATTCCAGCGGCAAGCGAAGCGACGGGTAACACAAACTGTCTTCAGTGACACGTTCATCTTTCAGTTTGACACAGCCGAAAATATGCTGATCTCCTTTGAAAGCATTTTCAAATCCCCAAAGCACGCACTGGTTTATCTGTAGGCGGGATGCTGAAATGACAGCTGTCTGTTTACTCATTTACTTTGCAGCAAACAGAGGGATCCAGTGTTCAATGCAGGTAAGATCCAGCTGCACCTTTGAGGACGCGATAGTTTCACGCTATGATACAAACCACTGAGAGCCATTGAACACAACTCCAGATGAAACATTCATCCTTTCCGCGGTCCTTCATTCACATAACCAGTCCACTTCATCCACTGCTCCATCTTCACATCTAAACTTCCACTCATTTTTCCTTTGCAATAAGCTATTTCTGCATTTTTTTAAAATTGGACTTCAGTTGTGTGCAATTTAACATTATTCCGATACCGAGGAGACGTGGAGGCTGTCAAGACCAACTAGCACCATAATCTTCCAAGAGCAAATGAATTAGATTTTACATGAATCATCTTAAACAGAGAAAGTAGCCACATGGATTAGCCAACCGCAGGGAGAGCAAACATTTTGTATTATGGCAAATATTATCCACTTATAAAACAGACTCATACACGTTCTTTGGTATTTGTTTATTTGCAAACTCTAATCATACGATTACTACAGGTTTTATCACCCACACTGCACTGCAGTTACTGTACATTTGAATAGATTATTCAAATAGATTATCCTGCCCGGCGGCCCAATTGGTTCAGGACCATGGACATAAACTGCCACTTGGAGACGGTTAACCCATACAAATGATAATTCCAGCAATAAATCCTTCCAACAAAATGCTTGCGTGCAATTCCTGAACTGATTACATGCAAATCGGTTGGTTTGATTAAACCAAATGGCCTTTAAGTCAAGTACATGTGATATTGCATGTGAGGTTTTTAAACAGTAAAAGAGAGAGTAAAAGAAAGCCATTCTATTCCCTCACCACATATGAGCAGAGGGTTTTGCACACAGAAATGATCCATTAAGAGCGTTCGGGACAAAGGTCGCTGTCCGTTGACACCCGCAAACAGGAAGTGCACCCATATTAGGACAAACCAGGAAGTGAGGAAGCCATAACCTGCCTCACCTGGTTCTTGTGTCTTTCTCTGTGACCTTTACAAGGGATGAGACGTGTGACCCACTGCAAAGGTAGGCTCCCCCCTCCCCTTGCACAAAGCCCCCTGCCCACGCAGCTCTCTGCACACCGCTGAGGATTCGCTTTGATCTCTGCAGGTGCATCGACTCTGTTCTGAGCTGCGGTGCAGAGACAGAGGATGAAATAAGGTCTATTATTTTGACGTATGATTTTGGACGTCTCATCCGAAACATTCTGACACCAGAAACGGTAGAGGTTTCCCTCGGTGCGATGATCAGAGAGCCGTCCAGACAGGGGCAGGAGTGGGTTGACAAAGTGTGTGTGAAAGTTACATTCCTTTAATTGCCTTTAGACTCAATTAACTGACACACACAAATGCTTCCTAACCTCAGCGTGATTGGAGTGTTTGCACTTGTGTGTCTCCACACTTTGTTGTTCAACTGCGGTTGGTTGCTGTGTTTGCTCACAACCTCACTTTAGCTCAAAGGCATTTAGCTTCGCTCACCATAGTAACAACACTGCAATTTCTGACACTAGCTCCCTGCCAGTGGCTTTGAATTCTTCTGCGTACACTAGATTCCTCTGTTCTGTGATTCCTCGCTGCAGCTCTTATCATGTTCCCGGCCCTCAAAAAGGACTTTTGCCTCACAAACACATTCAGTCTCTCTCTTTTAGGGGATTGTTCCTATTGAAGTCTGTTTGATTTTACTGGTTGTAGTTTTCTCAATTGGCGTAATGTCGTGAATCTTTGTCCCCTTCAGTAAGAAATTACAAAACTGCAAAAAAACAAAAACAGGATCTAAATCTTTTACTCACAGACATTCTGTTTTCTCCTCGTCTTCACAGTTTATTTGTTAGAAGACATAAAAAAAATAGGCAGTAATTCAAAGAACAAAACATAGTATTTCTTAAGACATTTCATGGAAAGAACAATGTAAGATATTGTTGATTGAAGGGTCATTTATTTTTGCAAATCATATTCTGAAGAGAGATATTCTAAATCAAAACATTACATTTGACCCACCTTTAACCTTGGGACCACTTGCTGGGTCCTGACACTCAGGTTTAGACCAGTGAGGATCTTACTGAAGAGACAGTGGGAGTAATGGGGAGGGGGGGATCCCAGTCAGTTTTCCTACTTTCCCTTTATGTGTTTTACCGGTTGTAGAAGGCTTTCCACTACGTGTGACACAACAAACAGCCTCTACAGGCTTCTAACTTATTCTACCAACCTCCTCCACCCTTCACGTTTCTTGCTCCTCCGCCCCGCTTGTCCCCGTTTGGCCCCCTCCACCCAACCGGCCTCGTCAACCTCCACCACTCCTCTCCGTCATTGGATCCTCTGCTCTCTCTCCCCCCTCCACCCACATTATAGTCACAGTACAGATTTACCTCAGCCGCTCCGGCAAACGGACGGGGACCAGAAGCGGCCTCGCCGCCGCGGCCCGCTCATCCGCCGGCCCCCGACAGTCCTCAGAAAGCAGCGAGGCGGGCGTGGCCAGAAAGGGCGGCGCCGGCAAGGTGCCGCCGGTCAGAAAACCCCCGAGTTTCAACGTCCAGTTAAAAGAGTCCGGGAGTTTGTCACCTTTCTCTCTCCTTGATCTGCCCAGTTATCGCGGCCCCATCAAGTCTCCCAGCCAGTACTTCCAGATCTGTTACTAGACACTCGAGTACGGCAACCCTCGCTTTGCTGGGTGACAATGTCAGCGTCATTCCAGTAATCAGAGCGCGGGGGGCCCCCAGACGCTCAGTGCCGTCCCACGTGTCCTCACATCCTAAAAACTAAAGATAAACATACTAAACATTCTAATGAGGTTGCAAAGAGATGGCCGTTCTTTAAGAAATGTTTTCTAAGCTTTGACAGAAAGCGTTTGTTGAGATTAGTGGTTTCTTTTAGTTTGTTTCTGTTCTCTTAATGTTTACTGCATGATTTCTTTCGGTTTTAAATTGCTGAGGATTTCTCATCATTCCCATTTATAAGCTTCAATCTGTTTTATTTTCATAACATTTCCTCTGCTCCTCTTTTGTCTGCATTTTATTTTGGTTAACCACTGCTTTTGAAATGAGAAGTGTTTGCAGTCTATTGTGCGCTCTTTGTCATAACAATGTAATTGAAATGACTAATAAAGTCAATTAAAAAGCTAATTTCTTTGTTTGATAATTCATTCATAAGTCATCTGTCTATTTCATAGTGAAAAGAAATCCTCTCACCACTCTCCATTCCTCTCCAATCCCGTCATGTAATCATCAGCATTGTCACCCTTTTCATACACATCACCACAACGTATCATCCTTCTCATGTCTGCGCTTTTTGAATACATACACAGTATATTAAAAAAAACCTATTGATACTGACATGATTCCGGTGTTCACATCTGTGTTTTCCACCATGTATATTATCTCACTGATCTTTTTTGTTGCTCTTTCCAGAGGAAGGTTATGTGAAAATGTACTTGAAAGGTCGTCCCATCACCATGTACATGCCCAAAGAGCAGGTGGACGCCTACTGCCTGGAGGCCAGAGCCGAGCTGCCCGGCAACAAACTCAAACTGGACTGGGTGTATCCTTTTCTATGAAGTCTTCTGAGGGAGAGTGAATCCAGATTGTACTGTGCTGTGGTTGAGAAATCGAGTGCTCGGATGTTGCAGCAGTTGGGAACAGGCTCATCGCTCTGCAGCCGGCAGTCTGTGAACAAACCTGCAGGCTGAAGCACCACCAGTCACCAGCTCCTCTCGTGCCCCTCTTATTTTCTATTTGGTTCATGTTGTGGTTTCTCTCCTTAGTTTGTTAAGGAAAGAATGAATTGAGTGAGTTGTTCTGTCTAGCAGAAACCTAATCGGGGAAAGAGCCGCGAGGGTGCGAAGAAAAGATTACTTCTGAGATTCAATATATACGTTTGCTGCAAATAGATGCAATAGACGCACACGGTGTCTGAATGTCATTTAAATGCATTAGAATGTTTGTTGTTTCTTATTTGGGTGCAACAGTATTGGTAAGTTAATATTTGTCACTGTTATTTTTATTGTTATTGGTGGATGCACTTTCATTTTTGTTCTTGCAGCAAACACGTTTTAATTTTCATTTCCATTGTTCCTTGAGTCTGTTGGTCTATGAAACATCAGGAAAACCCCCGTTGTTCTTGTTTTGTCCAGCAGTCTAAAACCCAAAGATATTAAGTCAGTGAAGTCCATCGGGGGGGGGGAGTTGTTTTAGCTTTGGAAATCTTTTTTATCCCTTGACCTTATTTGACGTCCAGTTACGGTTACCGAGGTCGAGACTGTCGCTCCAATCTTTATCTGTTGCCCACCGGAGAGACGGTGTACTTCATCGCCTCAGTGGTCGTCCTGTTCAACGTGGACGAGCAGCTGCAGCGACACTACACCGGACACACAGACGACATCAAATGGTGAGAGACACCTGGGGATTATTATGGGGATTATAAGATGCACACACCAACCCGAGGGGGACGGTCATCTACCTTTCATCTCTTTAGCATGTAGCATTTGTGCAACCCTCACAGGCCATAGAGCCCTTTCTTTTCTTCACACCTATTATGTGCAAACTATCTACGATAAGGGAAGGTAAAGAGTAAAGGAAAGTGAGCCGCCGTACCCAAAAGGGGAGGAATTTATCCCAAACGATTTCCTTTGCCCCTCACATTAGTATGGAGCGTGTGATGGAGCTTCGGTGAATTCACGGCTTCAAAAAGCCTGTTTTTATGTCGTGCACGTTGCTCGTCTCTACTCAAACGGCCCTTTTGATGATGAAAAGCGTTTAACTGTTCTCACGTCGTTCTCTTCACCAGCCTGGCCGTCCACCCCGATAAAATCACCATAGCAACCGGTCAGGTGGCGGGCACCTCTTCAGATGGAAAAGTAAGTGAGGTTAATTGATTAGTGGAGTGAGGAGTTTTGCTATTTTAATGGAGAAACACTGTTTTACCCTGCAGGTTGAAGTTCAAGGGCATTTGCTGTACTGATGGCAAACCTCCCCTGTGCTCATGTGTGTGTGTGTGTGTGTGTGTGTGTGTGTGTGTGTGTGTGTTTCTTGTTCCTGGCAGCAGCTGGCTCCTCATGTCCGGGTGTGGGACTCCGTTAGCCTCAACACGCTCCATGTTCTAGGTGCAGGCTTCTTCGACCGAGCCCTGGTCTGCCTGGCTTTCTCCAAGTCGGTAAGGAAACACCACCGACACACACTTAACACGCTCGACACACTTTTTCTGCACCGCGTTTCCAGCAGATGAACACGGCTCTGGGTCGTTTTTCTGTGCGTCAGAATGGAGGAAACACACTGTGTGTGGTAGACGACTCCAATGACCACGTCCTCTCTGTCTGGGACTGGCAGAGGGAGGACAGGCTGGCTGAGGTCAAGGTATGTGTGCTTGTTTTTTAATTAAATCCTTTGCTTAAGTCGTTTGGGTCCAAATGTAGATATTTTATTTGTTTCTCCTCAGTGCTCCAACGAGTCAGTGTTTGCTGCAGACTTTCACCCAACAGACAGCAGCATCGTGGTGACCTGCGGCAAGTCCCACCTGTATTTCTGGCACCTGGAGAAAAGCGTGCTGGTCAAGAAACAGGGACTGTTTGAGGTGAAACACCCACATATTATCTCAATAGTGTAATGCAATACTGTTTTGATTTATAGTAGAGGCTCAAATGCTGTCGTGACAGTCTATGTTACGTTTATGGTCCTATTTATAGCAATAAAGAGATAATCAAACGCAGGACAATGAAACAATATGTGTGCTCTTGTGTTCCTTGCAGAAACAGGAAAAGCCCAAGTTTGTTTTGTGCGTGACCTTTGCAGAGAACGGAGACGCCATCACAGGAGACTCGAGTGGGAACATCCTGGTGTGGGGAAAAGGCACGTTAATTAATTATTGGTTGATCTTTTATTTACAGAGAGCGGTCCAATGAGATGCCTTTTTGTCTCTGATTTATCGATCGATCACCCTGTTTGTCTGCCACTAAATCGGCCAAATCAGGCGCTCGACCTTTGTGTCAGTCCGTCTCCGTCTCATCCATCCCATCCTGTCTTCCTCACGCAGGCACTAATCGTATCAGCCACGTCATCCAGGGAGCACACGAGGGCAGCGTCTTTGCCCTGTGCATGCTGAGGAACGGCACGCTGGTGTCGGGAGGTAAAGACCGCAGGCTCATCTCCTGGGACGGCGGCTATCGGCAGATACAAACGGTGGAGGTGAGAAATAAAAGGTTCAACAGGCATCTGAAAAATATAGAATTTAGAAGATTATGAAATACATAAGTTGTCCTTTTCTGATATATTTTACTATAATAATGTCTGGGTTTTGTTCATGTTTAGCTATAGAGCTGTTAATATCCTTTATGAAAATGCTAAGCTATATATCCACCCCCTTCCCTTAAAGTAGGTTGCTTATACAGACAGACGTGTCTCTCTTGCCTGAGGCGGCGGACTTTGTATTCTGAATGCTGCACCATAAATATTACAGAGCATGATACAAATTTGTGCCCTCAATGAGATTCAAGGATGTTTCTAATGACCGCAGTTTTACAGAAAAACCCAGTAAAGAATAAGCTCATATTTATTCTTGGAAATGCTTACTTTTAGATAAATGGGTGGTTTACATGATGTGTGTTGTTCCTCGCCAGGTGCCTGAGTTGTTTGGTCCAATCAGGACCATCGCGGAGGGCAGAGGGGAGACTGTGCTCATTGGCACCACCAAACACTTTGTTTTGCAAGGCAGTTTGGATGGAGACTTCATGCCTATTACACAGGTAGATAGAGCCACTAACACTGCAGCCAGCAACTATAATTGTTGCCTGCTCATCAATTATTTGGTCCATCAAATGTCAGAAGATTTGTCGGGAAAAAGGTCCATCAAAAGTGTGTCCGACACTTCATAGTAGTCATTCAATTACAACACAGAGAAAAAGATTGTCCAAAGGTGTTATTCTTTTATGAATCATAGTTGCAGCTTCAAGTTGTTTGTGGAAGAACTGGAAAAAGTGAAAGTGTGATGTTGAAGCAAGAATGAATGGATTTGAAAGAAGAAAACCCCTCGTCTCTTGTCCAGGGTCACACTGATGAGTTGTGGGGTTTGGCCGTGCACCCCTGGAAGCCTCAGTTCGTCACCTGCGGCTATGACAGACAGGTCTGCCTGTGGGACTCAAGTTCCCATCAGCTCATCTGGACAAAGAATATGGAAGTAAGTTGAGCCACAGCGCCCCCTTGAGGTCAGTCACAGGAAATACACAGGGCACAGCGAGACGAATCGGCCGCTATTTGATCACCTCTGATGTCCTTGAGGACCATCAAGAACTGCACATCTAGCAAAAAAAATGAATAAGGGGACATAAAAACAACCTTCAACCTCAATTTAAGGAGACAACACTATAATAAAGTTTTAAAAAAACACACAAGTAAAGAATTGAAGTATGGGGGTTGTTGTGGCGCAGGGGATAAAGCTGGTGTGCTGGGAACTGCAAGGTTGGTAGTTCGAGTCCCGGCTGTGCCATTTCTCAAGTTGAAGTGTCCCTGAGCAAGACACCTAACCCCTAATTGCTCCCCGGGCAAAATTGTGAAAAGCCATGGGTTTAAATTGTGATGTAAGTCGCTTTGGATAAAAGGCGTCTGCTGAATGACCTGTAATGTGAAGTATTTGCTTCCCAAACTTATTCTGAGAGTTTGTTTGTATGTTTTATATAATAGTGTAATTCATTTAAAGATATATAGTAGGATTCCTTTTTTTAAAGGTGGTTGCCTGCCGCGTTTTAATGCATAGTACATTGTGTGTGTTTGCATTTGTTAAGATGTGTTGGTCTGTTTCAGTGCAACCGTTTGTTCTGTGTTTATTGTTGTTGTTTTTTGTTGTTTTTACAAAAACACGTTACATAAAGTAGAGGGAGACTCAGTTTACTCTCCTGTTTCTAACAGGATGCTGCCCAATCAGCAGGCTTCCACCCATCTGGAGCTGTGGTTGCCATAGGGACCCAGAACGGCAGGTATGCATCGTCCCATCACTAAAACAATAAGAAATACTGTGTCTACATGACCGCTAAAACAGCCATTTGCACGATCTAAAGAAGCCGATATTTGAGGTGTCCTTGACCCTGCAGGTGGCTGGTACTGGACTCTGACTCCAAGGATCTTGTCACAGTGCACACCGATGGGAACGAACAGCTGTCTGCTATGCGCTACGGGCCAGGTATGGAGATAACCGCCCCGGGAGGCTTTTGCTCACTCGTTTCCTTTTTGCTATTTCTCAATAATCATCCTTGTTTTTATTTTGCTTAGATGGTAACTTTCTGGCCATCGGTTCCCACGACAACTACATCTATATCTACGCCGTGGCGGAAAGCGGGAGGAAGTACAGCCGAGTGGGGAAATGCTCGGTGAGCACCTGTGATCATAATCCCCCTCATCCGTAACTCCGTTATTTTTAGTGCGGCCCAGCATCATCTTTATATTTAGTTCCCTCCTCAGCTCCTCCTCGCTGTGTGTTAATACAGAAGCTGAAAATTGACAAATAACAATGAGTTGAGTCATACATTGCAGCTATATGAACACAATAACTAAGGGTTGCAACATCAAATCAAATCCATATTTACTGTATTGTTTCTGCTGCTTGAGTAGTGTGTCAAACACAGTGAAGGGCCAGTGGAGGTAAATTATCTAACCTGGTCCTTTTGTCTCAAATCTCAGGGTCACTCCAGCTTCATCACTCATCTGGACTGGTCAGTGGACTCCCAGTACCTGGTTTCTAACTCCGGGGACTATGAGATACTCTATTGTAAGTACGTCTTTGCTGTACGACGGTAAACTCCGTCGCATTGTTGCCTGTTGTCCGACTTTGTCTTACCCCAAAGTTAAGGTAGCTGTCGTGTATTTGTTGTCGTTTCTCCAGGGATCCCGTCAGTGTGTAAGCAGGTGGTCAGTGTGGAGACCACCAGAGACATCGAGTGGGCCACTCACACCTGCACTCTGGGCTTCCAGGTCTTTGGTAAGTGAAGTCTCCGTCCCTTTCCCCTCTTTTAGGAGAACGCTTGTGTCTCAGTGTCCGCCGCCCTCTCTGCTCCTCAGGCTTGTGGCCCGACGGCTCGGACGGCACCGACGTCAACGCCGCCTGCAGGTCCAGTGATAAAAGCCTCCTGGTTACCGGAGACGACTTTGGGAAGGTCCATCTATTCTCTTACCCCTGTTCGCAGTTCAGGGTAAGAAACAGCGCCCTGGTTGAAGTTCCAACGTGGCGAAAAAGCCCCAAAATAATCTTTTGAACAAAAAGATAAAAGAGATTACGCCTTTGTGAAACTTTGATACACAGTTTATTAGAAGACAATGCTTTTCCTTTCAGGCTCCCAGCCATGCGTATGGTGGCCACAGCAGCCACGTAACCAACGTGACCTTCCTGCACGATGACGGCTACCTGGTGTCAACTGGAGGGAAGGACATGAGCGTGATGCAGTGGAGGATAGTCTGAGGGAGCTCGCAGAAACAGATACTTGTTACCGCTGCTGAAGCCTGAAATCCGGCTGAAGCAAACTAAACTGAACGGCACTGAACTGATCCAAACCAAACTTAAATTAACTCAGAAGCTCAAGATGTGGATCTGCTGAACTGAAGTGAATTGACAGAAGAGGAACAAGAGGAACCGTTTTTTTTCCTGATCTGCTCTCAGATCCCAAACGAGACAAACTGTTGGAGGTGTTTTGTGCAGTTGCTTGAAGTAGAAAAATATATTTCCCTTTTTCTTTAATCACACTACACACAATTTAATCTCTCTCTCTCCCGAACTGGAGCCAAGTCCCCAACGACATGAGTGACATCAAACAAGTCCAATCTAACTAGACAGAACCAAAGGCCCCGACTTTCTCTGCGCTGAAGATACGAGAGCATTGGAACAAAAACTATGTACGGAAAGAAAGAACATAGGGCTTTTCTTATTGTTGAACTTTTGTGTATTTTGTATTTAACAACTCAGGAAAGCGCTGGTCGAGCAAAAGTTGTCTCTTGTATTGACATTGACATATCAGAACAAGAGACGTGTCCAATGCGGTTAATATCAGATTTGTTGACCAACCATTCTTGATTTATTTGCATTGAACATTTTTGAATGAAGACTAGACATAGCAAGGTTCAGCTGCATGAGATGTTATCTACCATTTCAAACTATCATCCTTTAATAGCAATGAACCTTAAAGATTTAGGGTTTAAACTGTTTTTTTACAATACAATTTAAACACTTGTTATGTTTTTGTGCTTCCAGATCTTTGCACCTTGCATTTATTCATTGATTCATTGATCGCTCCCGAATTTAAGTTCCTTTGAGGTTGTCCCTGAAAACTAAAAGGCTTAGGACAGCTAATGTGCAAAATGTGGGGTATCTTTTCAGTGGTTTAAGATTTGGGGAATGGGTTGTTTTTCTTACTTGCTTTTGCCTCGAGGTGCCATGAAAATGAAAAGCAAGCATGTTTTCTTTTTTTTTTCTAATGATGTGAAGCCTTTTAAATCTGCATCCATCAGCATTTTATTGCACTTGGACCAGTTTAGAAAGGGGAAGGATGAGACCATTACACTGTAACTGTTTACATCTGATGTGCTTCTCAGTTGCGCACCATCAGTCCCTAAAAATTTAACTGAACCTTCTTGAGTTTTTTCCCCCCCTATAATTCATTGCTTCACAGTGTAAAATACACAGCAGGTCTCTTTATCTGCACAAATGACCATTTAGTCCTTACCGGAGCTTTTCATGATCCAATGATGTCTGTTTTCAACGTCCCAAGCTACGTCCTCTCCGTACGCCTCCTGTACGTCACACCACTCAACTCGCTGTCAACACCAGGCTAATATCACACACACACACACACATGCACGAATATACCAAGTTGTTTTAACAGGGGTTCAGCAGATATTAGTGTGACTATAACTTAAGTTGATAAGAGGCAGGTTGGCATTGATTTGAAAGCGATTGACTGATTGTTGGAGAATTGTAATCAGGAAAATCATTAAACCGTTAACCATTAAACACCTGCAGCTGCAGAATACCATTGCGCTTTTAACCATGTCTGAAAGTAAATGCAACATGAAATTCCAACGACTGTGTGTTATATTTCCTACTTCATCATTTTTACATTTTTGGGGGGATTCTTCATTTTTACATGAAATTTGTTGTAAAACAAAGATGGTTCAAAATCTCTATGTTGCGTATAAATATACTGTATTTTATAGTTGTGCTGGGTTTATATATATTTATATAACAAGAGCATGCAGTCATATTAACTGTATGCTCATATTACTGCAGCAGACCACCATGACATTGAACAGGAGTACTGGGGCCTCAGTGGGCTGCGCGCTCGCGTCTTCACCGCAGGGGGGCGGCATTGAGCCGGACTTTATTGCCGTTCTCCCACCCCCTCTCCCCTCCTCCCTTCCGCACGCGGAATTAGCATTTTCCCCCGAAATCTCTCCCTACACCTCTCACCAAAACACCCCGAATGGAAAGACGCTGTGGCACGACGGAAGCTGCGGCCGAAGACCCCCGTCCGCTGTGGCCGCGCGTGGACTGAAGGATGCGCGGCGGCGCGTCCGGAGAGCAGAGACCACGCAGCACGCCGCGGGTGGGAGAAGACACCCGTGTCCTCGCCTCGCGTCATCATCAAGCCGCTATTGTCGTTGCAGGCGGGCACAAGGGACACAAAGTGGAAGCCGGCGGGGAGTGTGTGTGTGTGTGTAGGGGGAGTGGGGGGGGCGCGGCGGCGGCGGATTCGAGCCTTTCCCGACTGTATTTCAAGAACGATAAGCGTACCGTGGGTTCCTCAAGCCGCCGGCCTCCAACGGGTCGAATAAAAGGACGAGAGGATGAGGTAAGCGCCACGCGCTCTGTCGGGCGCGTAACGACAGATGCGCACCCGCAGCCCCCCCCCAGCCTGCACGTTTACACATTTATCTTGCGCTGATAATGTATAGCGAACAGACCTGCAGCATCTTAGACGTTTTATTGTGTGATATTTCCCTTGTGGAGAAAGTATCGTGAGGGTCCAGGGGCCCACCCAGCGGGCCCCGGGCTCCACGCAGGCGTCCTTTAACGCATTCACAATGAACGAGGTGGTCAATGTGATATCAATTGGGCTGTTTCCCCCCCCCCCTCTGTTGGTCTTCTATTCTCGCCACCGGACCCACCCAGTGCGTGCAGGACGTGAGCCGGGCGGACGTTGTCATGGAAACGACAGCATCGCGTATGTCCACGGTTGTAAAATAGCACGTCGAACAATAATGACTGACGGCGCCGGCCAGCGTGCGACAGGCTGCAGGGGGTCGGGGATAGTATGGGTGAGGGGGCATGCATCCGTCACTGGAGGAGGTGGGGGTTTATTCTGGGGGTTGCCAGGCAGGTTATCAGACACCCTCCCCGCCCCACGTCCCCCATCTCCCTTCTCCACAGACACGTACATAAGCCCACTTACTCTATGATGGACCCACACCGCATAAATGTGCTTGGTAAATCCTCATTGCATATCCAAGCCCTTTGGCGTTATTTTGAGCCGTTCCCTGCTTATGTTGGTATGCAGAATGTGCTGAGGGAGAACAAATCTTCTCCAGCAGCAGAGTCATTCTATTTAGTTCTATTTATGAAACGGTCTTTGCATATTTCCCCCTGCTGCTGCCGCCTTCAGAGCGACTCCTCGGTGTCTCGGTAGCTCCGTTCTGTTTTATGGCTTCAGATTTATTCTGACAGCTCTCCTCAGACACGGTGCACTCTCTTTCCTTTTTGCTGAAGCTGTACCGGTGTTAGACTGCATGTCTGTGTGTATGTGTGTCTGTGTGTGTGTGTGTGTGTGTGTGTGTGTGTGTGTGTGTGTGTGTGTGTGTGTGTGTGTGTGTGTGTGTGAGAGAGACTGTTTGGGTGTGTGTGGTGCTACACGCTTCAAAGAGGAAATTGGAAGAGGTGAAGGGAGTAAGGGCAAAAAGAGCCAGGGGTGATCTCACATCTGGATATCTAGTGTAAAGTACTCCCGATCCAAACAACTAACCCCTTCCCTTAATGACTCAAAGCCAGTAGCTGCACCGTTTGGCTTTAGACTCTAAACATGTAAGATTCATGTCTTCCCAGTCCGGTTATATGAACACGCTGTTTCCTCATTTCTGCAAAGCAGCGCCGCCTGCGTCCCATCCTGTGTGTTTGTTGTTGCCAGAGGCGGATCTGCTCTTTGATTCAAGCCCAAAGGGGAAGTCTTGAATCGCCACAAAGCAACAACAAGGTGACCCGGCTTTCTTTCTGCAGGGGGAAAGAAGAAGAAGATCAAATTCAATGAGATCATTCGTTCAGCATCACTGCTTCCATTGCTGCATTTATGTTAGGGTTATGTATGTGCCCGTGTGTGCGTGTGTGTGTGTGTGTGCAAGAGAGGTGGAGTGGTTTGTGAGAGAAACCGTGGAAGAGGGCAACAAAGTGAGGTGTCCGTCCCTTTTATCATTAATGCTGGATGGTTTCTGGAGCTCTTGGTTGTGGTGATTCATTCTGGGGAAAAGGCAGAATGCAGCGACCGGAAGGGAAAATGCTGAGTTATGCATCTTACTGCAGACTGCTGCCGCCCTCCAAAGTGATCGGAGAGCAGCCCCACGTCATCACGTGCTGACGTGGGGCTCACGTCGTCTGGGGGCTTTTCACGACGAGCAGGTAGAAATGAAGGAGGTCGAACTCAATCAGAATTGCATTGCTCGGGGGACATTTTACTGATATGATACCAGAATTTCCTGAACAAAACGTGTCTTTCTGTAAGAAGCCGTCGAGCTTCGGCAGGTGTTAGCAGGAACTTATCCGTGTGGTGTATGACACCTGCAGTGACAGAGAGGATACAGATGTGTATATATGCATAGCTTTCTCTATCAGCGATTCCCGGGGGAAAGGCAGCATGAAGACTCATGGTAGGAAAGCGAAAGAAGTCATGGCTCCGTTAGGTGTTTATTTATCAAACCTTCATCTACCTCCGTAGACCACTGAGACTAAATACAGATCTCTACCATGTTTACACTGCGGGGACCATTAAAGTCGTTTGCGTATCTTTGTGGTTTGCTGATATACATCTGCATCATTTGTCCTTTGGCTTGATGGAGGTGCGATAGGCCTTTTCGGATGACCCCACCGCACTGTGAAAAGCATTTACATTCTAGCTATGCAAGTTCTAGCTGCAGTTTATCCCCATTTAGCATTGTGTCGTATGTTCCGCGGTTCTGACCCAGCTCACAAATTTACACAATTCACAATTTGGTCAAAGACATACACGAGCTTCTGCAAACTTTACCAGCTACACATTTTAGACGCATGTTCCTGTACTTCATACAAGCTCTCCTTTTTTGTATTTACGGGGTCTGCTGCAAGTTTCTTACCATTTCCTAAACATCATTAAGCCCCCATAATCTTTTAGTGTACTACATTGTTCTTTGTTTGTTTCCCCACACCTCTGCTCGCTGTGGCAAAGAGGCTTAATGTAAGTTTCCTTCAGCCAGATGGACCACCGGGATCACTTCTGATGGAGCCACAAGCAAACCGCGAATGTTACACTCGATGAACGCAATCCTTAGTTGCATCTGAATTTAAAACTAAATGTTACATCTGCTCCTGCAGCGCGCTTGGTTCTCAGCTGGGAAGTGGCGTCCTTTTATCATAGATACTGAATGAATGAAGCCGTGTGCCGGCGGTGTGTTTCTCTACTCTGTGGATAATTGGGGATTAGAGGTTTTAATCAACATGCACCTTTCAAAATTCTCTCTCTCTCTCTCTCTCTCTCTCTCCCTATTTTCTATTTAAAGGCAAAATTTGACGAGCCGTAGAAGGGCGGGATTGTGAAAGCACTCCTGTTTGCTATGTAGGCTAACGTGTCATTTTCATCCAGTGGAAAAGATTCCTTTGAGGTTGAAAGACAGCACTCCAAATCCTCCGAGCGGAGGGAGGCGACTGGTCTGCTCTGGTCACATGTTCCTCTCTCTCTCTCTCTCTTGCATTCCCTTACTCTGTTGCAACACTCCTCATCTCCCTCGCTCACTGCTTCCCTCCCACTCGCCCCGTGTCTCCGTCTCATGTCTGCTCTGTTGGCGTAGCGCGTTTGAGAGGATGTGAGGCAGAGGAAAAGGTCGAGTTAGCTTGGGTGCCGGACAGCATGTGAACCGCTCTCCTCTCCGCTCAGGCTGACGCTTCCCCCACTCCTCCGTAATCTCCCCGTTTATACCTCCTTTCATCCTTTTGCTTGGAGACCGGGCTGTCGTCTTCAGCAACATGTATTCCCTGGACGATTTCGGGTAAGCCAACGTGACTCCTCTTCATTGCCTATTTGTTTGGTCTCTTCGCTGTTCCTCTGTGCCTTTTGGAGTAGCGTGATTAAAGGGGGGAAAATGGCTTTGGGGTGTGTTGTTATCATGGTGCTTCTCTCTCTCTCTCTGGCTCATCTTTTAGACGAGAGAATCTGCCTTTCTAGAAACCCTATATTCCATCCTGAACATTGTTCCAGATCTGCTTGCTGTTTTATGTAACGGCTCCACTAGGACAAGTTGGACTGAACGCCAGGAAAATGAGAGAGGGAAAACTCGTCCGTCTCCTTCTTTCCAGCCCTCCGTCTGTGTTTTCTCTGGAGCCAGCTGTTTGCAGAGACGCCCGATTGGTTACCCCGCAGCAACCTTTCACTGGCTCGGCCTTTTTTCCTTGGGAAGACGGAACGAGTTTCTCTCTTGACTCCCCGCGGTTCACGGGACGGATCCCGTTCCACCCGTCGCGTGTGTGCGAGAAAGGAAGAGCGGCATCGAGGGCGTTAATCTCAGCATAGCTGCTTGAGTGGGGCTATCAAGAGGCGGATGATACCGGGATAGAGAGGTCCCCGTGTGATGTGGCCTTGGCAGGTTACAAGCGGGCCGTGGCGATTTGTCGTGGCTCAGATACAGATGTGGAGCCGAGTGGGACGGAGGAGATAAGTTCAGAGGTTTACGCATGATCGCTTGTACTCTAGTAATCTACTGTACGGTACGGCGGGAGGAAAACCTCCCTCACGGGGCACCGGCCTTACTGACAAACTGCAGGGTATAAAACAAAAACGCCTCTGCTCG